AACAAATATATTTAATCAATGCAATGACTTCCAGACAGAATAATATTTCATGTGCAATATTTATAGTTCTATTTTTTAACAAATTTAAAATAAAATTTCATACTTCTACTTTACTTTATTTGAAGTAAGATAATTAATAATTTTTAATGAGATCATTTAATTTTCTGTAGTAGGTAATATCTACAGTGTTACTATTTACCACAGATAATATTTGGCTATTTAATAATAGTTAAAAAAAGTGAGATTATCTTCCGAATAAAGTGATTAGTGTTTTTCAATGTTTATTTATCTTTCGGAATTTCGGATAGTTATTCAACGAATTATGTTATTCGATAGATAATCTTATCAATAGTAGTAATAACTTGGTAGGAGAAGTGTATTGTGGAACAAGTTTCTTTATTTTGATTGGTCGAAATCAAAATATTAAGAAGATAATGTTATCTTTTCTATATAATGATAAAGTAATATATATTATATATATCATAAAGGGTACTACCGTTGTCCGTTTTACCTACTTGCGTGTTGCGTCTTGTGGTATTTGACTTTTCTTAGTATTTATATTTTATATAAAGTTTTAACTGTTTTAAGTTATGGCATCAAATAATTCAACGAAATGGCAAAGGGCTACCAATTTTTTCTTCTCAGAAAAAGAGTTGCTGTTAAAGTATGCTCTACAAAACCGATCTGTTCTTGAAAATAAAGAGTTTAGTTCTGTTTCATGGAAAGACAAAAATAAATGCTGGATGCAAATTGCACAATTATACAATTCAACAACAACCGGTTGTGTAAGTATAAATTGTTGTAAATATAATATTTTGATTGTGGTGGGTCTAGGCCAAGTAAACAATGTTCTATATATTTTTTTGTAAATCTAGCCGAGAGATGCTGCAAGTTTAAGACTTAAGTATGAAGGGATCAAAAAATTACTCAGAGGGTCCAAAAGCGAAATCTTTAAAACGGGAGGTGGTCCCTGTACACAAAACTATTCGAGTTCCAGTGAACTTGATAAACAGTTATTTGAAGTCATACAGTTGTCTGTTCAAGGATTACCTTCAATGTTTGATAGTGATGCCAGTAAGTTGTAAAATTGTAAACTGTATATCTATAATGGTAAGTACTAATTTACATTCAAATGTTATAAAATACCAAAAATTGTGATTTTAAGCAATTTGCTGCTCATCAATCAAATCCTAGGTTAGTAGGGAGACTGGTTAACAATGAGTCGAATAATTTGTTTTTAATATAAATGAAGTCAAAGTTCTAAGCTGCTGATACCATTTTTAATAGGAATGAAGATGTTTTTTTTTAATTTGTACTTGAAGTAATATTTAAGTAAAAAAAAATTGTTTCATTGTTTGTGTCATAATTATAAACCTTGTATTTATTGTAGAACATATTGAATTGCTCTAGCTTTTTTTATAGTTGAACTAAATCATGCTATTGAACCAACAGAAATTCCAAATGAAACAATAAGTGATTCAGTGGATATGTTTGAGGATTTTAGTGTTGTCTTGGATGATGATGATGATCTCGCAATCAATAAAAAATATAATTTTTATATTTTATCAACTATTAAGTTTATAAACAATGTTGAATCAATGAGATGAGATTTGCAATAATATATCTATTGGTTATAGTAAATTAACTTTTGCATGTAAACAAATAAAGTTTTTTAAATTAAATTTTTAGGTGTTATTGGTGAAAATAACTATTTGGTGACTGACACAGTGGTTGAAAACACTGTATCAAATCAAACATTTAACCAGTTGTCTTGTGTACCAGAAGACAGTTTTAAAAATGATTCATTACAACAGCCGTGTACTTCTAATGCAGTTAATCATAAGCCATCTTGGACTCCTATTGAGTCTACTAAACTGTTGAAGTCAACTGGAAAGCATCATAAACTCACAAGTATGTAAAAACTTAAAAGTTATCTGAACTGATATTAAGAACATTTTGAATTTTAGGTGGCAATCTAAGACATCTGTTAGTGAGAAGTTTGCATTATTAGCGGACAAAAAATTAGAAGTCGTTGAACTCCAAAAATCAATCTTGACAGAAGAATTGCTTTTTTTAAAAACAAAGCATGCTCTTGAATTAAAATCAATTGAATTAGATATATCTGTAAAAACACAAAAGTTAAGTAATGAAAAAACAAATGAAGAATATCAGTTCTAAATATTGTTAACTGAAATGTAATAACAAAAACTGTTGTTGTATATAAATAATTTATTGTTAAAAACTATGAAAATTATATCATATTAAATTTTTCTAATACAATAAATGTGCAAAATATTCGTCTATAAACTGTTGACGTGCATTTCCTTCTTCTATTATTTCTTCTACTATATTTACATTTTCATTTCCTGGTAGTACCATGTCTAATAACGCTGGTGGATTAAGATCATTGTTTTCAGTTGCTATATTATGTAAAACACAACAAGCAACTATTACGGCTTGAGTTGTCTCTAACTTTAATCTTAATCTAAAAGATATTGCTGGAAACCTTCGTTTTAAAACTCCATAAGACCTTTCCACAGGATTTCTCGTTCTTATAATTGATTCATTATACAGACTTTCAATCTCATRTTGAGGGTTAATAAATGGTGTGACAACATGACGAGAATTAGCATAACCACTATCAGCAACTATCAAACCATTCCCTCATTTGCCATTTATTAATTCACCAAACACTTGATTTTTTAAATATTGTCTGGTCATGGCTAGATCCTGGCCAACGAGCTACAATATCCATAATTTTTAAATCAGGACTGGCAATGGTTTGGACGTTGATAGAAAAATAACATTTTCTGTTACGGAGGTATTCTGCATTCTCTCCACCTGCAAAATAATTTTATTTCTTGTTAATTAAGTTTTAGTTTTAAAATTGTACTCATTTAAAGTGACAACTAATTACAGTGAAAAAGCTGTATTAATTTATCCATATTTTGTAATGGACATTACAGTACTTTAATGGAGGAGATACTCATATAAATTTTATTAGGCCTAGACATTTTTACAAAAAGAGCTGTTATTCAATACTTTTACTAAAGAAATATTATAGTCCAGATTAAGTTAAATTAATGGCTTATTATTTAAGTATTTAAAAAATCAATATACTCTGTTTTAATCAAAATTTCAAAAAAAGCTTCAAATATCATGAGAATCTTATTGTTCCTATGTACAAGATAGTTTCAAAATTATTAACGTGGATTGATATGGTCATGCCTTTTGAGGTATAAGTATAAAAGGTAAAAAAAAATTATATAAAACTGACCCCTAAGGTTATATAAATTAATTATTATGAATAACCTGGGCTTTGTATTTTGACATGGCTGCAATCAATAGCACCAATAACTCTAGGAAACTTAGCCAATTCATAAAACTGACGTTGTATTGCATTTATTTCTCCTTCGGTTTCTGGCATTTTAATGAACTTGGGTCGCAGTCTTGCTATTGCAACACTGACATTTTTTACAATTAATGATGCTGTAGTTTTGCTAACTCCAATGAAATCTCCTGCAGTAATCAGAAAATTTCCAGTAGCATAAAATCTGAGGGTTAATAGAAGTTTGGTAATGGATGTCACAGCATGATTTCTAAAATAATTTTTACAAACGCCAAAAATTAGTAAAATGTTCTAGAATAGTACATCACTACACCTATAATAATTTAATATATATATATACTACATTAATAACATTAAGTACCCACCTTTSTGATTGAGAAGATATTTGATCATCTCTATAACCCAATACTTGAAGAACTACTCCTTTTGAGATTCTAAATCTCGCTCGAAAATCTTCATCATCCCAAAAAGTCATATGATCGATACGCTTACGAACTGTGTACAATCGTCGTTGGTAATTAAAAAACTCGATGACTTCATCATCGTCGTCATCAATTAATTTAAATAGATCCATTATTTTTATTTGTGGAATACAAGTATTTAGAACAACGACAACATTAAAAAAAACTCTGAACTACTTCTAGCTACAGAAGTTCAAAATTTGGAAGTAAGTAGCAACAACTAATACAAAATTAATAAAATATGGTAAGAAAAAAATTGTTATTGTTTTTGGTGTTTTATCAATTTTTTATAGTTATCTGTCAGATAGCCTCTTATTCGGTGGTAAAAGCACCGAATAACTAACCTGCGATTTATTCACCGAATAAGACTAATTCTTTCATTGAAAAACCGGATAATTACAATTTTTTCTTATCTGTCGAATAACATGAGCTATTCGACGAATAAATATGATTGAAAAACCGGACCTTATACTAATTAGTGATTACTTAGGTATTTGATTTATTTATCACTAATATAACACCATGTACAGTAGGTAATTAAGATTTACTTCGGAGTTCGGACTACGGTTATGTATATTTGRTTTGGTTAGGTGATTTGGACTAATAAATTGTATATTAATTCATAGTCCATTGMACATTTGCATTTTGCACAGACTAAGATATCTTAGTCCTTGGTCCATTGTAATAATTTTGATAGTAATATTATCGTGATTATTATAGTATCTATTCTGTGACCAACACCATCGAGATAATAAACATAGACTTACAGAAATTTTTATTATCTATAGATAAGAATATATGTATTTATTCTTCAATTAAACGTGCTGTAAAATCTTTTATGTGGCGTAACCTCCTATTAAATTATTTATTTTATATTTTTATGATATTTCTTATTATTCTAATTAATATAATTCTAAT